AGAGTCGCTGTAGAAAGCAAAATAAAAACAAAAGCTTTGTTTGTTTGTTAAATTTAGATGCCACCATCTCCCCGATTAAAGTAACTCTGAGCAGCTTACAAGGAATGTAAAGATAAATACAAAAACAATTAAAATCTTAAAAACTATATAATAACTAGAACCAAGGAAACAGATGGCACAGGGGTAAGATTGTCTTAACCCAGGGGTAGGCAACCTTGGCTCTTTTATGACTCGTGGAGTTCAACTCCCAGAATTCCTGAGCCAACCATGCAGAGAGGAAAGGGAGAACTTATTTATTTAAAGAGAGAGGAAGGAAACAACAGCTACAGAGACCTGGTTATTCCTTTGCTCATTTCTAACAGTGACTAGAATAGGAATTCCAAAGGGGCTGGACCTAGACCATTTGTGCTAACATAGCGACTCTAGGCTGATGACTCATTTTATAATTCCACCACCCAACTCTGCCTGATCTTCTCTTACAGGTATAGTTCTTCCCATTTGGGTTCTTCTGCTCCTGTCAATCTGATTGCATTAGTCACTGGATAGGGCAGCAGTCTTGCTGAATCACCACACAGCCAGCTTCACCATCTGCTGATTTGATGAGATAGCAACACTTGAGGCTCCCAGAACCGATGTCTGAATGAGATCCAGGGCTCTACGTTCCCGCTTCTAATAAATCTGACCAAAGGACAGGACCAAGGCACTTGTAGGGCTCTTGAAATGCAAGAGGCTCCCAGAAGAAGCTGCCTTCTTCCACTTAAAATAAAAAGGCAGTGTACCGATAGTGAGGAGGGGAGGCTGGTCTCCATGGAGATGGTTTATATAGCCGTACCCAACTACTTGCTCTTAAAGTGATGAGAGCCATTTGGATGGAGTGTGATAGTAAGCGGTCTTGTTGAACACTGTAGGCAAAGATAAGGGCTGCTTTTTGACATTTGATATTTGAGGGGTTGCAGTAAAGAAGGGAAGGGGGTCGGTTTGTTCTCCAAAGCGCCTGAAGGCAGGGCAAGAAGCAATGGATGGAAACTGAACAAAGAAAGAAGCAACCTAGAACTAAGGAGAAACTTCCTGACAGTAAGAAAATCAACCAGTGGAACAACTTGCCTTTAGAAGTGGGTGCTTTAACACTGGAGGGTTTTAAGAAGAGACTAGACAGCCATTTGTCTAAAATGGTATAGTGTCTTCTGCTTGAGCAGGAGGTTGAACTAGAAGACCTCCAAAGTCCTTTCCAACTGCTATTCAGTTTTTCAGTTCTTCTATTCGATTTGATTCAATTCTACTCTACCCTAATTACTTCTATTCTATTTTCTATTCTATTCTCTATTCCATTCAATTTGATTCGATTTGATTCAATTCTACTCTACTCATTCTATTCTATTTTCTATTCTATTCTATTAATTCTATTCTTGAAAGCAAAATTTAGGTTGATGTTCTTTCTATAAGACCAAGTTCTCCCTTGCCCAGAGTATGAATAATTTCTTGAGAGCGCAGTTTTTGTAGAGCAGCAGTATCTTTAGAACAGTGTTTCTCAACTTTGGCAAGTTTAAGATGTGTGGACTTCAAGTCCCAGAATTCCTCAGCCAACATTGCTGGCTGGCTGGGGAATTCTGGGAGTTGAGGTTCACAAATTCTAAAGTCACCAAGGTTGAGAAACACTGCTTTAGAAGCTCTGGGATTGTCATAAGGTTTGGCAACAAGGCAACTGCTTATGCATGCGGCAAAACCAGAATTGGTTGCTTAGAATTTAGCATTGGATCTGCCCGTACGTGCTTCCCTTCCTTCCCAGGCAGTTCATCAGATCTCTTTCCACCCAAGGTAACTTTAAGATTTTGCAAAGCGAAGGTACCAAATCAGGATCTGGAACCTAAGAATGAAAGACATCTCAAGAGGAACCAACTAGGTGCTGCTATTGAAGTGGGAGTTCAACCAGGGAGGAAAGTTGTCTGCATTGTGCTCTGGTCCACACTTGAAGGCCTGGCGTTTACAGATGGGAATATTCATCCACTGTGCCGGCTGTTGGATGACTGTGGGGCAAGCCTCACAGTGATGGAAAAGCTGGGATTCTGAGCATATGCTGTCGTTTTTTCCGGTTGCTATGGTGACAATGCATAAAAGGGACAGTCACAGCGAGGCAGTGTGATCTAGTGAGTTAAGCTCCGTGCAAACGAGGCGAAGTATCCTCAGCTTTAAATCTCTGCTCTTCCCTTGCTGATGGTGACCTTGAGGGGAAGGTCCCGGCCCCTTTGGGTATCCGTTTAAAATGCAGGGCTAAGAATAGCTATGTTGTGGGGGTGTTGACAGGATTAGCCGGCATATGTGAAAATCCTATCATTGGCTGCCAGTGAAATCTTTCCAAGGGTTAGGAGAACCCCCCCCCCCATTTGTTTCTTTGGTTATGTGCCTCTTCTCCTGTAGCTTTAAAGGTAGCTTGGTATATGGGGAAACACCCTTCTCCCCCCAATAATGGACCCTTTCAGATGTAATTTGGCGGCTGGTAGCGAGCAGAGGTCTTCATTTTCAGAAAAGGAGGTGGGGATGAAACGCAAGCAGCAGTAAGATTTCTCCCCCCTCCCCAACACACACACACACTCACACACACTGTGATGGAATTTAACACTTCCCTATGCAACCTGTCTAGTAAATTCTTTTCTGGCGACGATTTTGACAACGTAAAAATCTGCCTTTGCTTCCAATATTGCAGTTTGGCTACAGGAAAAACGGGCCAATGTTATTTGCGCGGAGTTGTGTCCTGGATCACAACTTTCAGACAAGTTTGTTTGTTCGTACAGTGCGTGGGGTTTTTTTTCCCCGTAACAATAGCTATAAAAGATTGAATCCAGCGATTTCAAAGAGAAACCTTAGGCAAGCCTCGACTGATGTCATAACCGATCCATTTTGAAATCTTAAAAAAAAACAAAAAAACAAAAACAAAAACCCGATTCCAATCACAAGTATTAAAATCCCGCACTGGTGTGTTCTCTCAAGGCGAGGGAGGATGGCTCACGGATGAAGCAATGTGTTCCTAAAGGATTCCTATTCTGTTCCTCCAGGTTGTATATTACACTGAAATGTACAAAATATTTGGCGAATTGACAGAACAGATTGACGAGCCTGACGTAACGGATGAGCAGAGAGAGAAAGAGAGCGAAGCCAAGCTGAATGAATTGAGGGCCCTCTCCATTGTGGCCGATGACTGACCCTCCACCTTAAAAGTCCTTTGTGGGTGTGTGACAGCTGCGGATGAAGTGGATAAAGACTGGAAGTTGAATATGACTTCTGATTTCAGAAGGCTTGGAACCCTTGTTGGTGCCTGCTTTAAGCTGGAGTATTCTTTTTTGCCACAGCTCTTTAAATCCTGAACGTCTTTATCTGTATTAATGACAACCTGGCAAGATTCTCAGACCGAGTCCTGCGTTTGAAAAAAAAGCGGAAGAATTTACCCTTAAAAGGATAAATGAACCCGCTTTTTAATTCAGTCTTTCCAAAGTCGGGGTCCATCTGACAGCTGAATTGTGAGGGGTATCCCCAATGAGTGTAGTTAAAGAAGATGTTATTGCCGATAACCTAATTGACTAAACAAACTAAAAAAATACAGGTAGTCCTCAACTTACGACTACAATTGAGCTCAAAATTTCCATTGCTAAGCAAGACATTTGTTAAGCGAATTTTGCCCCATTTTACGACCTGTCTTGCCACAGTTGTTAAGTGAATCACTGCAGTTGTTAAGTTAGTCACACGGTTGTTAAATGACTCTGGCTTCCCCACTGACTTGGCTTGTCAGCAGGTCGCAAAAGGCCTGGGACACTGCAACTGTCATAAATACTAGTCAGTTGCCAAGCCTCTGAATTTTGATCACGTGACTCTGGGGATGCTACAATGGATGTGTAAAAAACGGTCATAAGTCACCTTTTTTCAGTGCCGCTGTAACTTTGAACGGTCAGTAAACTAACTGTTGTAACTTGAGGACTACTTGTGCGTACTTTTAAGGAATGTCATCATTGCACTAAAGCCTTGTTCTGCAAGAAGCCCTGTCTGGTTTGTGTCTTTGTGGCCTTGAAAGCTGTCTAAAAATTGTGGCACTGATTGGCATAAGTAGCTTAATCCTACTGAATGCAATAGAAGTCTTTTCATAAATCATGATTTTCAAAAGCCAGGGAAGGGCACAGATTATCATTTCCCTTGATACAATCTACACAAATATTATCCCTCGCACTGCAAAGGTTTCTATGGAAGTGTATCGCTACTGAAATGTTATTTATAGGGAAAGCAGTCTGTTTCCTCAGCATTTTGTTGGTGAAAACCTTTGGTCATTGTATACGGACGGGTGGCTGTGATTTAAACTAATAAATTTATTTCTTATTGGTGGCAGCTAGCCGGAAATGCAGGTATTCCTTTATTTTCCTGGACTTACTCCTGCTTTGTATTGGTGCCTTCCAACTGTTGTCTTGCCTGTCTAATTATGATTAATGAGAATACTGCAGATGATTCTTTTGGTTCTTCTGTAACCCATACTTCTAATTTTATTTTTTCAAAAAAAAAAAAAAAAAACCTTAAGAGGATTGTTTGACTTTGTCCTTTTTGTGTATGAAAGTAGAGGTGCACCCATGACTGATGAATGGGAAGCTGCCTAATTTTGCAAAGCTGTTTGACAGCAGCTAGAAATAACTGGACATTCTCTGTTTAGGTCACATTGCATACAGTTTAAGAGTTGAGGGGTTGGCAACATTTTATTAATTACGGTCCAATTCAACTACTCTCATAAACGTGATCACAAAACAGCCCCAAAGGCTTTGTGTTGGGTTTTTCTTTCCCCATATTTGTAAAGCAAAGTACCTCAGCACGTTTTTCAAATAATTGTGCATTTGGGGCTGCTTCCCTAACTCAAACCAAGCAACCCCAGCTGTGTGTGTGTGTGTGTGTGTGTGTGTGTGTGTGTGTGTGTGTGATTAAAATCTGAAGGCTGCATCTGGATTCAAAAAAGAAGAAGAGGCAAAGCACAATTTTCAAGTGAGGAAGAGACTTTTATAAAAGTAACTTGGCCAGTTAAATACAAGTTGTTACTACATTTACAGACTAAAAGCAACACATTCAGAAGTGACAAGACCACCTGAGGTGGGGGGAGCAGATGGCCAGGGCAAATGTAGCAAATACCTACTGGAGGAAGGCCGAAGCCCAGCCACTGCTTTGCATAGGCCCACCAGCTATTCTGCTAAAGTCTATCTCGGGGAACCCGATGGGCCCAGCTGTGTGCTGTGTCTTCCCAATGGAAGTCCAAAGGATCTGCAGGCCCTCCCACTGCCCAGATTCCAGATCCTCCAAACTCAAGATCCGCTGAACGGGAATTTCACTTTTGCCTGAAGGCTAGCCATCAAAACCCCAATGGGTCCTGGAGGTCCGTGTAGCAAGTAAAAGGACTGGGGACGGGGGGGAGGGTTGATGATCATGAAGGCCTTGCAGAGTTTTTGTGGGGTTTTTTTTTTTCCTTAAAATGGCTAAAATGCTGAACCAAGTATGTACGGTTTTCACACTCCAAGCCACAGCCCCAGAGCAGAACTCGCAAGCTACCCTCAATGCACAACCCAGGAAAGTCAGAGGCAGGGCAATAATGGCCTGGGGCAAAGGGTGGAAAGCCTGCTGATGGCATGGAGGCCGTTGCCGTCTCCCCAAGGCACCACCCAGGCCACCCCTCAAGCTAGAGGTAGAGGGGAGAGGGAGTGGAGGGGGCATAAAAAAAAAAAGTCTCCATGAAGCAGCACGAAGAGGCTAGCGATGCCTGGTCTTCTGAAACGGTCAGTCCCTGCACGGAACTAACTTGCTGTTGGCCAACAGCCCAAAATACCTACCCTGTCGCTTCTCCGCTCGCACACTAGACCATGAAAATGCCTACCTAAGGGGGTATTCCTTGAAACAAGAAGGGTGGTTCCAGCAGATGAACTGGGGCTCCTGGTCACGCGGGACTAGTGGCCCCTTTCCCCCCCCCCAAGCCTGGGGGTGAAAGGTGGTCGAGGATGGAAACCAGCAGCAGCCTTTCACAGAGTTGGCCAAAAACAAGGTGGACAGTTCCAAAGGCTTATTAACCCCCAACCGCTTAACTCACAGCCCCAAAATATCAAACCAAGGTGTACGGGTCTTCCCTGCCAAGATGGTTTTCTTCACTAGGGGGTCTCAGTTGCTGGAAACGGAGGGTGACGTAGCTTCCTTCTTCTCTAAGCAGTTATTGGTCTGAAGGGAGACAAAGAGAAAATAGGAAGCGAGAACGTTTAGGACAAAGGTTAATGATCTGCAACCTGACAGCCTGGCTGGCCTGCTCCTGACAGTTAACCGGTGCAATGGCCTGCCTCCAGAAGCTGGGGGCGTTCCATCCTTGGAGGGCTTCAAGAAGAGATTGGACAACCATTGGTCCAGAATAGTATAGACCAGGGGTAGGCAACCTTGACTCTTTTATGACTCGTGGACTTCAACTCCCAGAATTCCTGAGCCAGCCACGCTGAGGGGAAAGGGAGAGGTTTCCAAGCTGAGCCGTGCTGGCTCAAGAATTCCACGAGTCATAAAAGAGCCAAGGATGCCTACCCCTGGCCTAAAAGTTTCTGGTTTAGCTCTCTGAGCAGATGTCCAATTCTAGATCTATCAAGCCATCATTGCTTGAAGATCGATGCTCCGGATTTACTTTTAAAAAGCCCCACTGGTTCAATTGTCAAGCTACCTTCTCAATTATCTTCTGGATTTCCAGATGCAAAGGAACCAGGCGCTTCTTATTCTCCTGAAGCAGCCTTTGAAAATGGGATTTTTGCTTTTCGGACACTTTAGATTGCTCCTCCATCTCCGTAAGGCGCTTCTGTAATTCCTGCACTTCCGCTGTCAAAGCTTTGTTGGAAGCCTCCGTTGATGAGAAGCGGAGCTGCGTCTCTTCTGTAAGTGCAATAGATTGAAATTATTTTCCAGGCAAAAGTAACAAGAGATAAGGGAAGTGTAAGCTCCTAGTCAAAACAAGGGAGAGCCGAAATTGGCAGTATCTCATTGAAGGAAAACCTATTTATATAAGGACCAATTACGGTACTCTGTAATTATGGCAATTATGGAATCTGCAGGGGGCAGATTCCAGGGCAGGAACCTTTGCCTTACACAATTCTACAGATACATTTTTGGAACCCCATGGAGAACATTTCAAATACACGGACGTGTCCCTTGTCTGCCACCCTCTGTATGCTTCCATCTCTTTATAAGCTGCCTAGAGTTGCTATGAGCAAGTCAGCAACTACATAAAAATTCTAAGCAAATAAATAAATCTCCATTTTCTAGATGTTCATGCCGGCAGAAGCATAAACCACTTGTCTTGAATCCGTCTCAGTTCCCCTAAAAGAATTCCACTATTTTTCATTCCACCTCCGCTGCCTACAGTGGCAATTCAGTTCTTGCGCAGAAGCCGCTCAATTCTACAATCAAATTAGGTTTCGATTACTTAATGTTTGGTACTCCTTGATGCAATCAAGAGTACGCCCCATAAATACAATAGTTTGGACTTGAACCCTGCTTTCGTACATAAACAGTTACAGAATTAGACTGGGAAATTCCACATGACCGCTAGATGGCAGCAAATATTTTAAAACACCTCTCTGCTGCCATTCGGTGGTCACCCAGACATTAGCAGCCCAAATTTGGTAATCCGGAACATGCAGCTTATCGACCAAAGCAGTTCCTCATTGGTACAGATGGCAATTGAAGTGAACTGCCAGGAATCATGACGACTGGCTGTATATGAATTAAATCAATCCAGCTTACTGTACAGCACTCACCCAATTTTAGCTCCAGAGCATGGATTTTATTTTCCAGGTAAAGCCGGCTGTTTTCTGTCTGCTCTGCCTTTTCCAGTAGTTTGCTGACATTAAGGACAGCCCCGTTGTAGGAAATCAAATTGGTAGACTGAGTCTCTCGGGTAGATTTGGTAAAAGAAGCCGATGAGCGCAAGAAATTGAGGTTGCCTGCAAGAACAAAGTAATATTTATCCTACCTGACAAGGGAACACCTTGATTCTGGGAACGGGGAGAAAAAACCACCAAAAAAAAAAAAAACCACATGGATCCGTTGCTGCCATTTCCACTGCAAGCCTGAAGCTTTGTTCTCTTCCTTGGCAACTTGACCCATCTTGGCAAAGAACTCGGCTTTCCAGGAGCGAGCGGCATCTCAGTGGGAGGAGATACTGTGAAGGAAATCCTCACATGCCTGGAATACCGGTAGTCCTCCACTTAAGAACCACAACTGAGCCCTAAGGTTTTGTTGCTAAGCAAGGTAGTTGCTAATGATCTTTCCCCCGATTTATAACTTTTCTTGCCCCGGTTGTTCGGTGATTCGGCTCCCCCGTTGACTTCGCTTGTCCGACGGTCCAAAAGGTCAATCAATGCCCCTGGGACAGTGCAACCATCACAGAGGCCAGTTGGCCAAAACATCCAAATTTTGATCACGTGACCGTGGAGACGCAGCACGGCCATTGGTGTGAGAAATGGTCAAAAGTCACCTTTTTCAGGGCCATTGTAAATGTGAACCACCACTAAACGAATAGTGGTAAGTCAGTGACTACCTGTATTTTGTTGGGAGGAGACAAAAGTGTTTGGAACCCCTCCCCCAATCCAGACCTCCTCCTTGCACACAGAATGCTCAATGAAAGCCCCCATTATTGAACTGGAACAAGCCTAACTTAGAAAAGCACACTACACTGGTATGACATCCATGATGCATCGTAGCCCCTTCCCCACCCCAGGCCTGTAACTTACCCGACAGCTCTTCCTCTTCAAGGCCTGCCTCTGTCCCTTCCTGCCGGCTGTAGTGCAGGCTGCGATAACGGCACACAAACTGTGTCACCACCCTGTTCACCAAGCGCTTCACCTACCAGCAGATGAGACACCCCCTTAGGAGTGGCCGTGGGAAAAAGCCCCAGACCAATCCCTGCGCCCTAAGGGCGGTCCGAAGGGCAGAGCCCAGCAGATGCTCACCTGCTCTTTGCAGAGGTGCAGTCCCAGTGTGAGGAGGATCTTGTCCATATCCTTCCTATGCAGGTAGCCACAGAAATTCAAGTCAAAGTAAACGAAGGCAAGGAGGGCATCCAAGGGCAACACGGTACTTGGGTCCAGCTCTCTAGGCTAAGCATGGTATATAAAAAGGGGGAATGGGGGGGACAGTCTCACTCCGTGCTCCATTTCACTGGTCCAGAGATGCCAACTTTGTAGACCAGGGGTAGGCAACCTTGGCTCTTTTATGACTCGTAGACTTCAACTCCCAAAATTCCCGAGCCAGCATGAGGGAAACTTTGGCTTCTTCATGACTCGTGGACTTCAACTCCCAGAATTCCTGAGCCAGCATGGCTCAGCTTGGAAACCTCTCCCTTTCCCCTCAGCATGGCTGGCTCAGGAATTCTGGGAGTTGAAGTCCACGAGTCATAAAAGAGCCAAGGTTGCCTACCCCTGTTGTAGACTAAAGGTTTCCAAGCCACCAGTGGCAACATCAAAACAGGTGCCCAATACATGTTTATCACAGATCACATTGCTGAGATAAGCTATAGAATGATTCACCATCAGCAGCCACTATCAGGGTTCAGTCATGTTACTGGGGCATCCTATAATTACAATGGGGAATGCACTATATATATGTTGGATGCTAGATGGAACTCAGAACTTCAGCTGAGGGCCTTTCTTAGAACACAGGAAACATCCTGTTCTGGCCTTCTAAAAAAAGTCACAAATAACCCTAAGTTAGGATTTCTAAAATCATTTGCTAAGAAGGGGAAGGGGAGGGGGGAGGGGAAGAGAAGAGACCGACGCTACAGCTTAACACACTATGAATCAGATCAACACGTTAATTAAGTCTCAAACAATGCTTCCGTCAGCAGCAGAATAGGTATGTTACAAAGCCAGCAACATTCCCAGAAAAACCGTACTATGGTTTATACCCGTCTTCCCAAGACAGCTGATTAAACCACGATACACCCGTTAAGAAAACTCAGGCGTCACCAAACGTTGAAGAAGCGCTGGCCACTAACCATTTCAGGAAGGGAGGAAATCTCAATTTCTGACTGGTTGGATGCAACAGATCTCACTTCAGCATCTTCCAACTTGACACCTGTGGACAAGGCAACAGGACCTGCTTCAGAAGCTGACTGGATCCCGTCAGTGTATTTAACAAGACGAAGGTCTCTGAGTGGGCAACAGATGCCTTCCAAAGCCCTCGCAGTGGCTGCCTGTCTGGAGACAGCGCTGAGGCAGCTGAAGGCGGACCCAAGGCCATGGAGAGGAACTTGGGAGTCATGATTTCTCCGACAGAGAAAACCCAATGGGTTTCCGTCTCATCTACAACTAAGGTTAGTGATAAGGGCAACTCTCTGCAGGTAACATGTGTCCCTACCACAGAGGCAAGATTTACTCAACTGTACTGCATTTCCCAGACTGCTTACCAAAGTCCTCCTCTTCGTCCTCTCTTAGCAGCAAGAGGTCATCTTCCATGCTGAGCTCACAGAGGTCATTGGTGGAATCCTTGGCTTCTGCTTTGACGTTCCCGCTGACCTTCTCTTCCTTGGTCGAATTGGCCCCATCTTGATTCGGGGGCTTCTTGGCCTCCCCAGTCCCCTCTCTCTGCACGAATGAAAAGGACATGAACAGGACAGAATCTACGCCAGTGATGGCGAACCTTTTAGACACCGAGTGCCCAAACTGCAACTCAAAACCCACTTATGCATCGTAGGGTGCCGGGTGGGTGTGGCCTATTGGGTGGGTGTGGCCCATTGGGTGGGTGTGGCTGCGGTGGTAACGGCAGACTGGGTGGGACTAAAAAGTTCAATCAATCAATTCGCGAGATCTTTTTTTTTCCCGCGAGAAGTTGAAATTGACTGATTGAACTTTTTTTTTTTTTTTTTTTTTTTGCACATGGTGGCAGAGGCCTAAAGCGAAAAGGTTTTATTTTATTTTATTTTTTTTATTGAAAATTTTTATAAATTTTTTACAATAAAATACCCCCCCTCCCACCCCATAACCCTCCCCCCTCCTTCCCAGAGCTGAATACAGGGTTAAAGAAACAAAAAAAACCCATACAAATTAAATGAACATCAATCCACGATACATACATCCAAAAAATTTAAAGTACTTTAACTCCAATACATAGAAACTACAAATCCAACCATACCCACTTTAAACTATAAATTATTCAAAAGCTAAATAATACTTCCTGATCCCATATTTATTCTGTACAAAATTTACCCATCTTTTCCACACCGAGATATCTCTCTCTTGTGAATGGTCTTTCAGATAAGCCGAAATTTTTGCCATTTCTGATAAATAAGAAACTTTAAGAAACCATTCTTCTATAGTAGGCAAGGAATCCTTCTTCCAATATTGCCCAATCAGCAACCTTGCCGCCGTAATAAAATTTAACATTAAGGTAATCTCTTTACCATCACAATCTACAATAATACCTAACAAAAATAGTTGTGGTGTAAATTTTATCCTTCTATTAAAAATCTTCTGAATGTTCCACCGAATCTTAATCCAAAAAGCCTTTACATTTCTACATGACCTCCAAATATGATAATATGTTGCATCCAGACAACCACATCTCCAAGCGAAAAGGTTTTATAAGACCCAGCTGAAGGCCTAGGACTGGGGCGACGGTGCGCAGGCCCACAGAGAGGGCTCTGAGTGCCGCCTCTGGCACCTGTGCCACCACTGATCTATGGCTTACCCAAAAAACCAAAAAAGCCCCATTGTCCTCCCCAATCGGAAGAAAATGCAAACCGTGCAGCCAAAGAAAACGTGAGGGGATGTAAGTGGCCAAACGTGGAGGGGCCACCCAATTATACTGAGGCCCGGAGAGTTGTGTAGACTTACCTGAACTTCCTTCTGGTTACTCCCTGGTGTATCTTCTGCTCCGGGTTTCTCCTGAGGCTCCTCCTTCAGTTCATTCTCTGCCTCCTTTTCAGATTTGATCCCTTTTTCCGCATCGGGATTCTTGGCCTCTGGCGGCTCCTCCTTTTCTGGCAGGGCCAGCAGGGCTTTATAAAGCTTGTAGCCAAAATCACGCTGAAGCATCTCCTGGAAAGTCTCTGCCACCACTGCCACCTCAGGGGGGAAGGAGGAGCAAGAGAGATCAGGGATCAAGAAGCTGGGACAGATCTTGAGTCACAAACTATGGAAAGATTAGCGCTCCTATGCCTATTGGTTTTAACGGATTGTGGACCCAATGTTCTAATTACAGGGGGGGTATCTAAGCAGCAGGAGCCGGGCCAGGAGGGGGCCAGCTACACACATCCCTCGGGAAGGTCCACCTGAGAGACATCAAGCCTACCTCAAAGGAGAGCTTCTCCCGCTGCCTCCTGTACTCAAGCAAAGTGTAAAGAGAGACGTTGGTACAACTAGGCTGCCCATTTCGCAGGGCCAGCTGAGAGCAAACAACTATGGCTGGCTCCAGCGGAGGAGTTGGGGTCTCTGGTTCAGAAGCCGACGTCTCCAGGGCTGGCTCGGGGACCGGTTCAGCCGAGTCCATTTCCTGCTCACAGGACTCCATTTCTTGCTCCGGACCTGGTTCAGAGGTTTGTTCAGTTTCTTCCACCTGTTTAGAAGCATCATCATTAGAGGGCAAAACAGAGATACAGAAGTTGAAGATCCCAAGGACTCCAGCCAAAAGCCTTCCAAAAGTGGCCGCCATATTGTAATTCAGCAAGAAAGCTATTCTTTTTTTTTTTTTTTTTTTTTGGAAGAGGAGCACAAATGGAATCAAAATTAGTTTTGCGCTTGGTTCCCGTTGATTTCTTGGCCCTGATCTGGCCTACAGTTAGAAGGCAGCTACTGGTGTTCTGTTCAAAAGCCCTCGGCAAGAAAAAAAAGTTGTACGTCTTGAATCTATTTCAGGGGTCTCCAAAGTTGGCAACATTAAGACTTGGGGACTTCCACTCTCCGATTTCCTCAGCCAGCTACAATCTACAAGTCTTAAAGCAGGAGTCCCCTGATCTAGATAAACAGAAGCATGCTCTCCGGAGCCGAGAATGTCTAATTTGAATCTAAAGGCAAGGCTAGCAATCAAATCACATCTGTCCATTTAAACTAGCGGAGGGCGTGATAAAGCTAAGGTCACAAAACATGCCATCCATGGAACTCTCACGAGGTAGGATGTAAAACATAACCAGCTCATGTATAAATGGAAAGAAATGGATTCGACACCAAGACACTCTTCAATTCTACCCATCATCTGAGAGAGTGATCCCCCCCCAATGCCTTCCTGCTCAAATGAAACTTTAGATCAGTGTTTCTCAACCTTGACAATTTTAAGACATGTGGACTTCAACTTCCAGAATTCCACAGCCAGCAACGCCTTAAAATTGTCAAGGTTGAGAAACACTGCTTTAGATACAGGCGGAATCCACTCTTACCGTCTCACTTTTTTCTTCTAAAGGCAATGTGGCCTGTTCTGTTTTCTGTTTGCACGAGGCCTCCCACTCTTCCAGAGATGGCATCAGGCTCCAAAGATCTGGCAAGAAAACCACGGTCTGCTCCTGGCAAGATGGATTTCCCTCACGCAGGTATCTGAACTCAGCAAAGCGGTACCTAAGGAACATCAAGTGCGGAGAATTCAGAGAGAAACAAATAAAAAAAAAAATGACTATTGCCCCCAAAATGTGCCAGTCCCAGCTAGGGGAATTCAATCAGAGTTCAACTACAGATTGGATGCAGAACTGTGTTCCTGATAGGGCCTATAAGTGGTTGAATGGATTCGTATGGCTGGAAGGGACCTTGGAGGTCATCTAATCCAACCCAGTCCCCAAGGCAAGAGTCTTATATCAGCCCGGTCAAATGGCTGAGCAGTCTATTTTTGAAAACCTCCCGTGATGGAGCTCCACAACTCTGGGAGGCAAACTGTTCCATTTATATTGTTCTATTTAAAAAGATGTAAAAAAGATGCTGAGACTCTAGAAGGAGTACAGAGAAGAGCAACAAAGATGATTAGGGGACTGGAGGCTAAAACATACAAGGAACGGCTGCTGGAATTGGGTATGTCTAGTTTAACGAAGAGAAGGACAAGGGGGGACATGATAGTAGTGTTTCCAATATCTCAGTATCCACATTACTAACTGTCCAGGGCCACATGCAGCCTGTGGACCACGGGCTGACACATCTGCTATAGGTAAAGCACGGAACAATTCTTTGCTGTACCGCTACCTCAATGAGATGCAACGACTGGGAAGAAAAAATGTTAGTTATTTAGCCAAGATGACAATAATCACAATCAGAGCTCTAGACTCAAACCCATCTGCTATCAAGCCCTCCTTCCCCAGAACTCCACGTCGTGCAAAAATACAAAAAAATTAACTCCCTGCAATTTCTGCCCTTAACGTCGCCCTGCAGAATCTTCGGCCGTTCCTTCTGTCCGTTCTACCTCGTTGTCTTTCTTAGGGCTGGAGTTCTGCCCAGAGAGAATTAACTTCAGTTAGCAGACTCTACTAGAGAAGAGAGAGCAGGGGATTTCTGAGGAACGACAACCTCCCCACCTAGGCTGAACTCCACACACGTGGCCGCGCTCCACCGGCCCCCAAATTCCTTCCCTCCCCAGTGTGATGCTTCCCCAACAAGTCACATGTAGCGCCTGATTTATACAAAATAAGTTTGGTTGCCATGGTTATCTAGCACAAGGGAGCTATATATAACCACGCTCCTTCCAACTACACCAATGCACTCCAAGTTCCGGCATTTTTCCTCGTTGCCGATTGGGTGAAGGTAAGATCGTGTGGAAGCCTTCTCTGGCTCCTAAGAGCTCATGCACAGAAGCATGTGCAAGACTTCCAGGAAAGCAGAAGCCCAGGGTCCTTGATTAACAAGTATTTTCTGAAAAGCCCAAGTATTAGGCAGGCACACAAAACCAGCCCAAATCCTCATGCTTCGGCACTGTCAGACAGGTCAAATCTTACTGGTACCGATAGCCGCCTTCTCCCGGCATTGGTGCCTCATCCAGGGATGGCTCCTCAAAGGGAGAACATTAAGATGAAGTGAAACAAGCCAGCAAATAAATGGCACGTTGCAAAAATTAGGTTCTTAGCTCACAGAAAAACAAAGGCAACCTTACAAGGAAAGAACAGAGTATTTGGTGTATGCCAACTTTGTTCAACTCAAAGGCTGCCTTTGGACAACATGTTAAGACAGTGGTTCTCAACCTTTTTAATGCCGCGACCCCCCAACCGGTCGTAAGTCCAGGACTACTCAACCAGTCGTAAGTCCAGGACTACTCAACTGGTGCAGCACCGTTTGCAGAATGGGACTTTTGGCGGGCTCAGCAGGGCAGAGACAGCCTGGACAATTCCTATTCAAGAGAGTCTATTCCATTGGCTTTCAAAAGCCAATAGAATAAAAGGGAGTAGCACAGCTAAGGAGAAGGGGGAAAAAATGGCGGACTGCGTTGTTTGGCAACCCCCGTGAAATGGTCGTTCGACCCCAAATGGGGTCCCGACCCACAGGTTGAGAACCATTGTGTTAAGAGGATGCGCTCCAAAAAGCAGGCAGTGCACTGCCTGCTTTTTGGAATGCATCCTCTTAACATGTTGCCCAAAGCAGGCTTTGGTTTATTTCAAATAAAATGCAACTAAAACAACACTAGTTAAACACTAATAGTGTTACTCCCAGTTTATTTTCCTACCTTCCCTTGCATCAATTAAATATTATAATTCAGCGGAGCTTTCTAAAAGAAAAGATTTCAGTTAAGTCTGCTCTACAGCTGGAGCATGTCTAGGTTTCCTAGACCCCATAAATCTCTACTCCCATCTATTGATCCCTGCTGATCTTATTTTCTCGTAAAAAATATTATTTATTTTATGCAATGTGTTTCAGGCAATCTAAATATACATTAATCTGAACGTCCAATCTCAGAAGTACAAATTATCCTCTAAAGCAAGCCCAAGTCTTCTCCTCCTACCAATTAAGTACACTTAATAGAAAGTCTTCCTTTTGGAGGGGGATGTCCAGTCATGCAGATCCAACTCAAGATTTTGGCACAGAAGAGAGTTCAAAAAATCCCTCCGCAAATCTTTCTTGTAGAGTCTCATGCAATGACACAATTTGCTACAAAATGCACCACCTAGTGGGCCCAGCTGGCTATTTAATCTTACCTTTGGGTCTACGGAAGAAGGTAAAATGACTCTAATGCATCCCTTGAAGTCAAAATAAGTCAAAATAATTAAAACAAAACATTTTTAAGACCGATACGATGTATTGCCACATCCGTAGACTAGACGTCCCTCAAAAGTCATGGGACGTGATGATACAGGAATGGCTCGAGATTCGAGTGCCATGCAACATTCTGGCTTACATTTGCTTCAACTAGCTAGGACAGGGGTAGGCAACCTTGGCTCTTTTATGACTCATGGACTTCAATTCCCAGAATTCTAGGAGTTGAAGTCCATGAGTCATAAAAGAGCCAAGGTTGCCTACCCCTGAGCTAGGAGATTCAAAGGATGATGCTTAGTCTTGCAGACAGAGATTCTACCTTTCGCGCCATCGCTTCAGGAGTCTGGTAACAGATTAACCAAAGATTGCACTTTGATATGGCCCAAGGGCTAATCAATCAATCAAACACTACTCTGATTAACCAAAGAGGTTAAAAGGCGGAAAGGAATGTGAACTGCAGCTCCCTCTCCGGATGCACGGAGTGGCTGATGACGTTGTCCCAATTCACAAATTTCCAGTCTCTTATCTCAACAACAACAACAAAGGATGGGGATGGAAGGGACAGCTCAATGGCAGAAGACTCACCACTTCGTGCAGGTGCTCAAATCCAAGCCAATCTGGGCTTTGACGCAACGAACGGCTGTGCGGATCAGGACCGTGGGGCTCGTAGCTGGGTCAGGACCATCCAGAGAGGGGGACCACTCTCCTCCCAGGAGCACCAGCTCATCGGCCTTCTTTTCCAGCAGGAACTGAGGAAAGAGAAACCCTTCAGGAAAAAGACCCACCAGCCCTCTGCTTTAGGGGGGTCCCAGGGAAGCTTTGCAGACAGAACTGCAGAGAGACCCCGCTCTGCCTATTAAACCCTGAGACAGGGAAGTGACTAGAAGACACTGCTTTTCACAAGGATGGTCAAGATATCCACCCGTCCCAATGCAAAACGTGGATCTGGCCAACAATAACAATTCTGTGCACCCCAGGATGATTCTATATCCTTGTTTTTTTAGACACTTGTACGATATCCTAGGGTCCCACTCCAAAAGTGGAAGAGTCCCCTGGTTGATATCCATATTACCGATTGCTTTTTGGAAAACGTTATCTGGAATGAATCCTTGGCAAATGAACTAAGAGCTACTGAATTATGGACAGTAATGTCCTCCTCTAGTGAAGAGACCTTCAACTTGTCAGCTTAAGACTTTTTGGCTGCCCCAAACTAAAGGACATGAAGGTGAACCCTACAAAACAAGGATGAAACTTGACTTCCAAAGAACTATAGTTCCCATGAACACCCCACTCTATCTATAATCAAAGTCTGGAGGTAACACTGCCTTTGGAGACAAATGCAACTCATTTACATGACACCCAGCTGACATTGCTCACCTTAATTTGCTTTGTGGGATGTTCAGGAATCTCCCTCTGATCACTGGGCTCCTCGATATAAAGCAGACAATTGCGGTAGAATTCTTCGATGCCGGGAGAAGAAAGAAGCAGAACCTACATCGGAGGAGTTCCAGAGCAGCGTAAGTGCAGCTGCAATGCAGGCAGAAAATTCCCAATAATCTATTACCAAAGCCTCCAACAAAAGAAGACATCGATGCCCGAGATCTTAGGGAGGCTTCCCAAGTTACAGGGGATGTTGGTGGATTTAATTATGACATTAAAAAAAACAACAACATGGTTTTTGTTTCATCTGCAAGAGAGTAGGACCCGACAATGAATCTGCCTAGCCAAGTTAGATTGTCCACATTCTAGGTCTGTTTTAAGGAGGTAATGAAACTCTTTCATACAACCCTTTTCCTTGAATGAGTCTATTCTTTGATTGAGGTATTTTAAAAATAGGCCTGCCTTTCAATCTGGTGTTTATTTTAACACTTGTTATCTATAAGCTGTGGTTTTACAGATAAAAGGGAGCAAGGGAGATGGACGGTTAAGAAATGTGAAAAATAAAGAAAAGGAAAGGAAAGGAAAGGAAAGGAAGGAAGGAAGGAAGGAAGGAAGGAAGGAAGGAAGGAAGGAAGGAAGGAAGGAAGGAAGGAAGGAAGGAAAGAAAGAAAGAAAGAAAGAAAGAAAGAAAGAAAGAAAGAAAGAAAGAAAGAAAGAAAGAAAGAAAGAAAGAGGAAGGAAGGAAGGAAGAACATGTCTTATAATCAACTTAATAAAATAGGCAAGATTTTACTAATGCAGGCTTCTGTACACACCGCATTTTATTGGTGCTCCCTAAAAGGAATCTGGCAGAATTGTTTGCAAACAACATATAAAGCACCTACCCATTTATTTCCTCACTATTGTACTTTGAATATTTTAAAATGAAGACTAAACAGAAAGGGATTGATTTTAAATGGATTTAACCAAATAAAATGAAGAACTACTATAGTAGGGGCCTTGATCACCCAACAAATTCAACCACAGGATAAATTTATACCACGGAATTTGTTGAGAAGAGGGTACAGAGCATTAAGAGGAAACGACAGTGATTTTATGTGCTTCTAATTTCTGCCCAACACCCCTGCAGAGTTCAGCTCAGCTCAGCTCACTGACCCTATTTGCCCTTCCTCTCTGTCAGCTCTTAGCTCCCTGCGGTTGAACAGAACAGGATCCAAACTGTTCACCTTGGCACTGAATGCAGGATTTGCATCCTCCGGCTCAGCCTCCTGCCTTGTATCTTCTTCAGCCTGAGACGATTCTTCAGCAGGACCGGTCACTTGGATACGACTAGGATGCTTCAGAGTTAATGGCTGGCTCAGAGGGAAGGTGTCCAACCAGCAGAGGCGGACGTCATAGAATTCTTTGGGCAGCTGGATGCTGCAGTAGCGCCTCAAGACTTCCATGGCATCACAGAAGGGGCTGGCGAGACACAAAAGATCCCCCTTTTATAGGACGTCGACACTCCTTAGTGTGTCTTATTCAAAGCAGGTGGAAGGTTGAGTTTGCTCATTCATTTGAGCACTAAATCAACACACTTAAGTCAACATCGGCTAGGCTTTAAGTATTTGCTCTCCGTATCTAAACCAAACAGTGCTCAAGCAGTTAACAAGCATCTCCCCAACAACAACACCATTCCTCTCTTTTATAAGAGGTGGAACCAGACATCTGATTGTTAACCTATCTTCAAAAAAGTCTTGACCTCAAGGCCTAATAGTGAAATAACGCATTGCTGTCATCTTGACCAACGTTGAGTTTTTCCCAGTTTAGCTCCTCCAAAGATTTGATCCTGAGGATTGTGGGAGTTGCGGGCCCTTCCTGTCCAGCCATGGAGATATTGGGGGAAGGGTGTCTGGGGTAGACGCTTATCCTCATAATAAGACATAAAAAGCAGCAATATCATTCTATCTCACCTTTGTGGCAAATCCCACAGCTCCTGTTTGCTCTTACCTATTCACAGTATAGCACGCCAACTGGACTCGGTACTGGGGTGGCTCGTGACGAGGCTTCTTTGCCCCCCAGGGCTCGTTACCCTTCTGCTTTCTCTTCTTGGAGTCAAAGTCATCCCTAAAAGGGAGAACAACTTAGTTATGTCAGCCAAAGTTACATGCTGCACTGAAATCTTACGTTTTTCCAGTTTGGTTCTCGTCAAACACAACCTCGGAAGAGAGCGATACTGTGGATAGCCAACTAGTGTCAACGCTGCTAACATTGGATGTTCTTGCTTTGACAAATATGGAGATGCAGCCTTTTTCTTCCTTTTGCTTTACTCTTAGAATTACATGATACTGGGGGGGGGGAGGAATGTGATGGGAGTTAGTTAGACATAACAATATTGTAATAGTGTTTGAACTCAGGGCTTTTGAAATAAGAGATGATAAGAAATGGTGGGGTTGGAGTAAAGGAGGGAAAGCCTGCATTTCAAACTAATTGGAGAATGTGATTTATGACTGTTAATTAGAGGAGGGAATTGTGTTTGATACTTGGTGCGACTGGAAGGATGCTGTGGCAACACAAAATGATCCATTGTGATTCTTACCATCTGCCTGACTCCTGCCTGCCTTTAGGACCTCGACCAGCGTATCTCCCAAGGTGGCCCAAGTGGAGTGATGGAGATGTCTGGAAGAGGCTCATTGCTGGAGAAGGAAAATATTCAACCTTGATTTTTCCTCCAAGGACAACCCATTTGCTTCTTGAACTGGGCCTTACATCACTCCAGATCAGCTATAGCTGGTTCCAGGTTACGTGCACCTGGATGCATGTAACTTTATCCACCTCACGATGAGAAACCAGGATGGCAAAAATCACACACTTCCCAAAATGCCATTCAATTTCTTTTTTTGATATTATGATGCCCAAATAACACCACAGCCCCATCTAGATAATTTACCAGGATTACAGACTTCCTCGTGGTCTGTTTACATTATTCCCTCCCATAAATCAAAACAAATAGGGAAAATCTATTTCCCTCTGGTTCCAAAAGAGTTTGTCCCTCTAGCTTCCTCAGAGTGTAATGAATCTCAGGTTCAAGATTTTAACATGTAATGCTCCACTGCGATCAGATTTCTTCCCCATCAGATCCTGTCTTGTTAGCAACAACAGGAAGTGACACTTACGTTTCTGGGGAAAGAGAGGTGGGATCCGGTGTGGCTGGAAGAGCAGTTGGGGCTGAGCTCCCAAAATGCCTTGCTTCTGTCCCAAAGAAGCTACATGGAGCAGAGGAGTGGGGGGCTTCAAAAGAGGCTGGAAAAAAATATATATTAATGAGGAATTCATAACAAAAGTAACTTTTCTTACTGAAAAACTTGTAAACCACGAGAGAACAAATTTCATAAATAAAAAGATGGTGTTGGACTTGCCACAATTTAAAGCTCTAAATCGAAACGATCCTTGGCTCCACTTGTTGAGAAAGGTGTACTAGAGATCCCAAGTGTAATTGCAGAATTGCAAAGCCAGAACTGAGAATCGTGGCCAAACTCCTTAACCTACTTTCCCCTCTCTTGTCTCTCATTGCCCACCCTGGTGTAATGAATCAGGTTCAAGCAAATTGCTCTCATAACAGATGGTCCCTTCCAGTTGGGTGACCTTGAGGCAGCATCTCAAGAAGGCACAGCATTTACTTTCATTTTCCCAAGCATTCCCCGCCCCTTCATTCCCCCTCCCAATTCATGGCAGTCTGTCACCTGCCATATTAACTATGACCTCTTCCACTGCTTTGCCACCAGTCAAAGCAAAATGCTAAACAAAAGTGTGATGATGCACCATGTAATAGATTAGCACCATGACAGAAATCAAAGCCCAAGTATCAAGAATGAATCACTTTATCCACAGGGAAAGCAAAACTGGCTGCTACCTGATTTGACAATGTCTGGACCTTCAAAGCATTCCAGGGCACGGACTGACTGGGGTTGTAAACAGCCTTCACCAGCACTTTCTCACCGATCTGTGGAATCCGGCCTTTAACAACACTTAAAGAAAGAAAAGACAGCAGGGGAAATTCATTACTTCTGTTGGCACAGTCTCTGAGAAACTTCACAGTACTATTTCATAAGAAACTGCTTAGACTTCAGTATTGATTTGATTTGCCTTCTCCAACTGGCACTAGTCCTGTATTAGGCATGCCTCCTTCACAAACACACAAGGAAGTGGGGGAAAAAAAATCACATTTCAATGGCCTAAAGCTTTAGCTTAGCTAAAAACCTTTTTTTTTCCAAGTATGACTGCCATTTTTCTAGCAGGATATATATAACTATCTGTAGAGTAACAGATTATACAACCTTAATGCTTATACAAATTCTGCTGCCTTCCAACAGCAGAAGCAGTAGCTATAAGCAGCCAGGTTTGGCTGATTCACAAACCTGAGGAGCATCCCCTTTACCGCTCTTCCAAGGCACGCAAAAGGTTGAAGAGGGGCAAAAGGCATGCTGTCCTCAAGCAGCCATTTGCTGCCCACTTCAGTCCCTGCTGCAGCTCGGCAACCCTCTTACTCACCTTAACTGGAAAAAAACTTCATCATCCACCACGCCAAAATAATCGTGAAGGCTGGTGACAATGCCGGTAAAAACGCGCTGCTTCTCTCCTCCCTAAAAGCAAGAAAAATGGCTGTAATTACTTTGCTCAAATGACTCTTCATCTGATAATGACCATACTGTCCGCAGTCAACAAGTACATTCATTAACGTTGCAGATGTTACCTTTGTACGAGCCTAGTTCACTTTCTTTGTCATTCTTTGGAACTCTGTACCATCCAGCGGGCTATTTTAGGTGGAGACTACCCCAGGCAACTTTACCCACTTGCTATGTAACGATCTCTACTTAATGCACTCTGCATCTGCTCTTTAACACTGGATCTAAATGCTATGGACAATTAAATGCTAAGTCACTACTGAGATGTACAACTGTTCCTTTTAGGCTTGAATAACCCAACTTCTAACTTCCTTTTTCTGTCACACTTGAAGAAAATTAAGCAGGTTAAGCGTAAACCTGCACCTTCTCCGACAATGTGCATGCAGATCTGCACAATGAGTCTTGTGAAAGCCTTGGGGCAGAAATAAAACACACAAAATGAAGAGTTCAGTTCATACATTTGTGCCGTTTCATCTTTGCTATTGCCGCAGCTTCTCCCTAAAGCTAAAATCCTCCTGCATCATCTGTGGCTCCACTTTTATCAAAGCCAGAAGGCATTAAAGCCACGTGCCTGAAATATCAGAGGAGCTATGGCGATTTCCAGTGGGTTTCCACCTCACCTCTGGCTGAGATTCAGCCTAAGAGAGAACAGGAATTGCTGTCCTGTTTCCAAAATAGAGAGTTCTCGGCACAATATCGGAAGTGATCGGAATCACTTTGCAACGTGAATAGTTTATAACATCCTTTGGTTGACATGAAAGTCCCAAATTGTCCCATATCAAAAGAAAGAACATAGGAATATCACCACCAGGCAACTAAGAAACCCATAAGAGAAAATCAATTAATTCTCTACCTGAAGATGACGTGCTGCTTGAATGATATCTGCTGAAATAGGAGGATTTAATAGGCCCGGCGCAGGCCCCAGGAGAGAGGCTGGCTGTGTTCCTAAGAAAAAGGACCAGGTGTCAACATCATTCGAATCCGGTTGAAATGAAGCATTAGGAGGCAATGGATACATTTCATTTACCAATAAACAGCACTCTGTAACTATTCTAGCCACATTCTTTTCAATACAACTACAACTTCATCCTTATTATATTTTTTTCCCAGTGAAGTAATAGAAGCCTGTATACAGGGATCAGCCAACATAACTTTCAAATATCGCATTATTAGATCTGACCACATAGCAACTCTATGTAGTAATCACTGACTCCACATTGGTAGTTGCAGTCACATGAAATGAGTCCGTGCTCATAGTGCAGTTTAGCAAACATATGTTAGACTACTCCTCACAATGTATTATCTCATTCGTAGGAGTTTGGTTCCCAAATGATAGCCAGCATAGTCTAGAGCAGGCGTATGCAACCTTGGCTCTTTTATGACTGGTGGACTTCAACTCCCAGAATTCCTGAGCCAGCAAGGCTCAGCTTGGAAACCTTTCCCTTTCCCCCCAGCATGGCTGGCTCAGGAATTCTGGGAGTTGAAGTCCACCAGTCATAAAAGAGCCAAGGTTGCCTACCTCTGGTCTAGTAGTTAAAGCATCAGGCTAAAAAGCAAAAGATCGGGAGTTCAGGTCCCACCTTAGCCATGAAAGCCAGCAGGGTGACCTTGGGCCACTGGCTCTCTCTCAGCCCAACTCATTTCAGAGGGTTGTTGTTATTGTGGGAAAAATAGAAGGAGGAAGGTGTGTTGGATATTTTCACCAGCTTGAGTTACAGGTAGTCCTCAACTTACAACCATTCATTAATGACCATTCTAAGTTAGCAATGGGACTGAAAAAAGTGACTTCTGATCAGCTTTTACATTTCCAATCTTTGCAGCATCCCCAAGGTCATGTGATCAAAATTCAGGTGCTTGCAACTGGCATGTATTTATGACAGTTTCACTGTCCCAGGATCGTTGGCTTCCAACAAGTGAAGTCAATGGGGAAAGTCAAATTCACTTAACAACTGCAGTGATTTAACAGTGGCAAAAAATATCCTAAAATGGAGCAAAGCTCACTTAACAACTGTCTTGCTTAGCAACAGAAATTTTGGGATCACTGTGGTCCTAAGTCAAGAACTACCTGCATTTGTAAAAATAATAAAGGTGGACTAATCCAATAAATAAAAATAAAAAGCATACTTTAAACCACTCTTCCCAATATATTGTCTCATTTGGGAATCGTAAGAGTCGAGATTCACATCCGAAGGGCAGCACTAAAAGAAGTGCTTTAGACGAGTGTCTCGAATTCCTGTTTCTTTTTGCTCCATGTCACCTCTTAATCACAGTTCCTAAAAACTGCTGGAGTTATGTTTTGTTACTTCAATATGAGAAACACTGTATAAATTCACACCACTAAAACAGACTTAAAAGGTCGCTTCTAAAACTCCAATCCAAACCCCAAGGAAGTAGGACGGAAAGTCCACTTCACCCACTTTGCACAATTCTGGCCTCCACTAAAAAGACATCAAAAGGTTGCTCGCCCTGCTTTACTACTGGTTGCAAACTAAAGGAAAGAAAAAGCACCGGACATTCTTTAAAAAGAAGGCAACTTCTAGAATTTTGCACAACAGCTTGCCCAGAACCTATAACGGCAGCTTAAAAAGCCAATAAAGTGTTAAGTGCTTAAATAGACAAAAAAAGAAGAAGAAGAAGAATGTTGATCAGCGACTAGGAAATGATGAGACAAATGCTGCCCCGCAGGTGGGGGGGGGGAAGGTGCTTCTTTTGGCTCCGAATATTTGTCCGAAATGGTATAGGGTTACCGGCCCGAGCAGGGGGTTGGACTTGACCTCCAAGGTCCCTTCCAACATTATTATTATTATTATTATTATTATTATTATTATTATTCCTGAATCAGACCAACCTGAAAAGGATCGGGCTCCCTGAAGGCTGCTGGTTCGCAGTGGCTTCTGGCGCTTGAACTGTGCCATTCTGAGAGGGTGAGCTGTGTGTTTAACACATTTTCAAAAAGTTACACAAACATTCCTCCTCCTCCTGCCCCCCCCACCCCACATCAGCTCCACAAGCTCTGCCCAAAAGGAGGAGGGGGGAGGGAGCTGAGCCAGTCTAGATGCCCTCAAGCCCCCCCACACACACACCCTGCCCAGGTGCTGCCAGGGGGCTTTTCCTGCTCCCGAGGCCGGTTCAGGGGCTAAAAGCCAGGCGGGCAGACGACCCAGCGGGCCCAATGCTGCTGGAGGGAGAGAGGGAGGGAGAAGCAGGCGAGCAGGAAACTCCGGGAGAGCGACGTGTCTTTGGCTGGGACGCTCTTTAATCTCCCTTTACCCCCCCCCCGGGCAGGCTGGCCTACACTGCGGGGTCGTCGTAACTCTTCCGCCGCCTCGGCCCCCGCCACACACAGACACGGACCCCCCTGGCCGGGAGGGCTTCACCGGTCGCTTCCGCGGCGGCCAACGGACGCTGAGGGAGCTGCGCCCGGGGGGAGGGGGCTGAGAGGCGGGTTCCGAGCGCCCCCCCCCCGGCTCGAGAGACAGGCCTCGGGGGGAGGGGCGGAGGGCGTTGGAGGGCGCGGGCGACGCCGCTCGCGAGGCGGGCTCGAACCCACCTGAGGGGAGCGCAGAGCGCCCGGCTGCGACACCAGGGACAAAGGAACCCGGAAAAGCGTACCGGATGTGTGCCCGGGCGGAAGCGCCCCCGCCTCCTTCTGCCGCCGCGCTGAGGGAGAGCGGAAGGGCTCTCTGCCCGGAGTGAAGCGCCACCCGGAAGTGAATGGGGAAAGAGCTGAGGCAGGCGAGGCGAGGTCCTCCCAGCGGAGAAAGAGCGTCGCTTGCCGAAGTAGGGAGGGAGGGAGGGAGGCTGGACCTCCGAGGTGTGGCTGAGTGACCCAGCCCAGCGTGCGTGACGGCGGGCTGATCGGGGCGGGAGACTCGCCGCGACAGAGCGCCTCCCAGAAGTCCCAGCCCCTGGGCGGCCTCGCTAGGAATTCTGGGAGGTGTGGTTCAAGCCCTCTGGATGCACCTGCTAGCCCAGGGGAAACCTTGGCCTCTACCCCTGGTATATACATATAGATGAGAGTATAACTGCATATTCATTATTGTAACCTGAAGCTTGGGGATACTCCACAATTGCTCCTCCCTTACCGCTATGCTTCTACGGATTGCCACGGTGTTCTCTGAGTTTGGGAACCCTACCCTTGCTATGGGTCAGTGGATGTATTTGTTTCAGGTAGAAGCAGCAGACTGTGATCAGCTTTAGCCATCTTCTGACAAGCAAAGTCAGTGGGGGAAGCCAGATCCACTTAACAACCGCATTGCTAGCTTAACAACTGCATGGGACTGTGGCAAGAAAGGTCATAAAATGGGGCAAAACTCCCTTAACACATTTCTCACTTAACCACAGACATTTTAGGCTCAATTGTGCTCGTAAGTCAAGGACGACCTGTATTTGCTCCAACTAGTTCAGGGGTAGGCAACCTCGGCTCTTTTATGACTCGTGGACTTCAACTCCCAGAATTCCTGAGCCAGCCATGCTGAGGGGAAAGGGAGAGGTTTCCAAGCTGAGCCAGGCAGGCTCAGGAATTCTGGGAGCTGAAGTCCACCAGTCATGAAGGGGCCAAGGTTGCCTACCCCTGGGCTAGCCAAAAGAAGGATCGCGCTAGATAGGATTTGGGGAGGGTTAGGGGCAAAAAACGTCAAGCATTATGAAATACTCCAAAATTTGGTATTTTTGAAACTTTGTATGGGCAAAATCCCCTATTTTATAAGGAGGAGAATAAATCACAGGCTCCCAACTCTGGAAATTAAACAGAGCTGACAAATTCCAAACAGCTGGCACAGTTCACTTAATTTTGTGTAAAAGGGTGTGTTTTGCCGCCCAGTGGCAAGTTTGAGAACTATTTTGAGCGTTTTTCTTTTCCAGCCCCAAGTTTGCACACTTGCAGGCGTGCTCTTGTTTTGCTCGCTTTTTTATATGCAGCTTCTCAGCATGCGGTTGAAAGTGATCAGACACAAATGGGTCACTTTGATGGTTTAATGTAGGAATTGCTAAGCCGCAATAAATTGAGAGTTACTGGGCACCTACATTAGTCATGCTGGTTACTTAGACTGTTTCTATCCTCTGCATTATTCATTGACCTGGTCTTCTTTTTGAGCAAAGTTGGTAGTTCAGCTGGCTGTCCAACATGGGCAGCCTACATCCTTCCCCGTTGCAATCTTTTGTCCCAGGCTTCTTAGATCATGCACAGCTCTTGAAATAAATACACCCACCGATACGTCCTCTCACAAACTCCCATCTTCATTAGAGGGAGAATAGAAATGCATGTACTCCCTTTTCCACTTCACAATGCATATTTTAAATCACGCTCTCAATACAAAGGCTATTTTAAATCCCTGGATTTTTTTTTAATCAGAGTTGCAATCCAGCCTCACTTGGATTACAGCTTTCTAGCTTTAAGAAGCACATTCTCTTTCTCTGCAGAATGTGATGCGCAGCCAGGAGGAAGCATGGCAGACACTTTTCCAGCTACACAAACTATCACCTACACCCACCAGCAAAAACTAAATTTTTTCCATCTTGAATTCATTGACCCATTACTCCTAAAACTCCTATGGATGCATCTACTACCGTTTGTTCTCCACTTTAAATCCCAAGGCGTAAGGGGGAAGCATCCCAATTTCAAGCAGAAACAGGATTACATTCTAAACGTTTGGGACTCTGGATCCCTAAAGACCTTCTACCTTAGCAGGCTAACGTAACAGAGCTGTTCCCCAACATCCCCTCTGTCCTTGATTGTCCGAGAGCTTGCCTTGACTAGTGGGTGGCCCTTCCCCAGCAACTGACTTTATTTTATTTAGGAATCAGAATGTTGATTTTCATGGCACCAAGATGCCCAGCGTTTTCCCTCCCAACATTTAAGCCAAGGTAAATTAGGTTTTCAGGATAGCCAAGGAGATCCGTCATACACTGGAGTCAGGTCAGTCTCGTTCAGCACTAGCCCCAAATGACTGAGGATTCCAATGTATCTGAGCAGCATCAGATTCTGGGAAGCTAAATCACTTTTCTAAATTTATGCCATTGAAAACATTGATACAAGCATTCTAGTTTATGCAATTGAAAGTTAGCTGCTCCCAAATTCAACCACTTGTACCCTTTGGGAAACAGGGTGGGAGGGTAGATGGATCCCTGGTATGATCCAACAGGTCTCTGTTTGACTGATGACACGCTACTTCTCTACCGCAAAGGATTCCATGTATCTCCAGAAGCAGTTTTTCAAACATGCATCCTTCCTTGCGGCATGAAATAATACATCCCTGGAATACCACATTCCACTGAATTTAGCTTTTACAAACAATTTTTCTCTACTCTCAGGTTCCGGTTTTTAAAAGTCTGCAAAATGTTTTATTTTACTTCTTTAAATACATTAAATACATTAAATACATTTAACCCCCCCCCAGCCCCATATATAGTTAACTGTTAAATCATATAAAAAATACAATTTCATCTGTGAAATTTCACAGTTGCATGCACCAAAGGGGGGAGGGGAAAGGGGAAAAAACCCAAGAAAGCATCAGATTTAATTTAAACAAGAAGACCAACAAGACATTTCACAGTCTGCAATGCATGGATTTCCCAATGGACACGAGAATTCTCTTTGCACCATTTTCTCTGCCTGCAAAATACTGAATTATTTTAACAGTCCTAAGCAACCAATGAAGCCATAGCCTCAGACCTCAAGAGAAAGGCGTTATGGAGAGAGAGACACAATAACGGTGCCAAGTGAATTATATTTTGGAGATCAGTATGCCTGTTACAGCATAAAGCTTCTCCAGAGGACCAGCCCCGAACACAGTGCACTAAAACCAGTTTTCTTTGGAGAATCAGCCACATTGTGCAAAAAAAGTGAAACTAGTGAGGACTGCAAAAAAAAAAAACAAAAAAAAACCCTGTGCTAATCTAATACTGCTATTTCTTTCAAAAACAGTGAACTCAACTCAAGATATTGCTAAGCTAATAAAATAAACTCTAAATCATTAACAAGTCATTTTCTGGCATAATAATTGTGGTTGACAATCCAGTTTGAACTATGGTTTGCATTACTGCATTGGGCCATTGTATGAAATCTCTGTTAATATTAGGAAGGAACAGGGAAAATTATTCCATAAATAAGAAAGTGCCCATCTTGCAAAGGCTAATTTGTGCAAGACGGCAGCATTGCACTCACAAAAGGATCAAAAAAGATTCATGGGAATGAATATATTAGCAATATCTGGCTTTTTTGCTAGGAAGAATCCCAAGGCCTTTCATTTCAGTTCGATTCCAAGAAAACAAAAGCCGGTCTCATTTGCCTCGCTTCTTCCCTGAACATCTCGCGCGCCTCGGCAATGTTCTGCTGAAGACTATTCAGATCCCATGACTCTTAGTGAACCATGTGGTGACGTCAGTGGACTCGGACAAACATGTGAGGAAGGGGACAAACCGTTATTGGCACAACAGTATCAAATCCGAACTTGCAGATCTGCCGTGCCTCCAGGAGAATCTGTAGTTCATCCCATGGAAACATGTTTCGACCGATGTATCTTCACCATCAGATTGGGCAGAAAACGCCGCCTTGGGCAGGATCCCTCTTGGTCTAACTCAGTGTCTGCTCTGTAAAGGGGAAAGTAAAGAAGGACATTCAGCCTGTGGCCTTTTCAATCCAGTTGCATCGGAAGTGTTTCCAGCGTGCTTGAGTGAAGCTACAAATCCAGGCTCCATGTACCACCCACCCCACCCCAATATAATGTTTCCAAGCTTGGGAAGAGCAATCTGACATTTCTCCTTCCTGATGAAATTTTTTTTAGGGGAGTGGGGAAGTGACAGTGCTGGGAGAAGAAAGACTGAATTGCAAACTCTTGCTTTTAGGGACTTTGAACTGATCAAACCACCTCCAACTTTCTCTAAGGGCTGCAGCACATGCAGCCTTCCATTGCTGAATGAAATAAGTACCCCTTTCAATTCTGCTGTAACAAGCAGCAGAAGCCTTGAACGATTTTTGTGGTGCCTTCGTGTCAGTGTTAACCCCTGGCAACTGCCCTGAAGTGGTCTGGGCAAGATTTTGTCAAAGTGCTTTGCCATTGCTCTTTCCTAAGGCTTAGGGGGAGTGACTGGCCCAAGGTCATCCAGCTGGCTTTCTTCCTAAGGCAGGGAACAAACTTCATGGGCTCCTGGTTGCTAGCGTGATGTTAGAAGCTCTGCACCAAACTTAGGCCAAAACTTTTATTTTTAACTGCATCGGTCAACTGCAAAGAGAAGCATCCTCGAATCCTTTCAACCATGCGTGCTGGAAAAACATTAGAATGCTTACGGCATTAAAAAGAGAGAGGGAGGGAAGGAGGACTTCTTGTTCTCGTGTTATAAAATAACAACTAAAAGAACCTCTTTCCAGCTGGGCTTGTTTGCTTTTTCTCCTATCTAGGCCAAGGACAGCAAGCAAACTAAAAAGGGGAGAAGCGAGGCCAGGTAGCATTTCAAGGCTGATTAGGTGACTTTTCTTCCCAAACAAGCTATCCAAAATCAGCTCCCAAATCTAAAATCCTTGGTCCTCCTTTCACGACTGGTGGGAGTGTCTGCACGGATAATTGTTGAACAATTCCATCTCAGAAGGAAATCAGCTCGCCTGCTTTTGAAATAGACTTCCAGGAGAGTTATATTTCTTTTCCTTCGTTAGTGCTCTTGATGGTATGTTTTTGTCGCATTTTGCTACTTCACGTATATTTGCAGTCCAAAACTGCTTTTTTTGCTGTTATCATTTGTAATGACTCTTGGTAAAATGCAAAGCCATCTTTACCGAGAGGAAAAGCAGATGTGAAAGAGAACTAACAGATACAAAACTGTGTCATACAAGGTCTATTTTTCAGAACGTTGCAACAATCACCTAGATAAGTGACGACTGAGCAAAAATGTGCAAACCTCCTTGGATATAAAGTCATTACCCCTACATACACACAATATATGCACTTATTGTGCTTTTTTATGTAGCACTGAGCAGCTGCATTAAACTGAAGGCTTGGCTCTACCATTTCTATTTCCTTAATTGTCACAACCACACACTCTTAACACAGTGTTCCTCAATTCTGGTACCTTTAGGATGCATGGATTTCAATCCCCAGAATTCCCCAGCCAGCAAGTTGAGTAGACAAATAGTGGTTAAGGTACCAGGTAGATCCCAGGAGACTGGAAAATCTTGTCCCGCCCTCGGCATTCTCCCTCATCCCAAACCCTCCCAGGCTGTTGTTGTGGGGGAAAAGGAGGAGGACGAAGAAGTATTAAGTATATGTCTGCCACCTTGAGTTATGTATAAAAATAATAAAGACAGGATATAAGTAAATAAATACACAAATAAGCAAAGCAAGCTTTTTTCCCCCTGCTGTAACAGGTAGAGCCATGCATTAGATCAGGGGTTCTCAACCTTGGCAACTTTAAGACTTGTGGACTTCAACTCCCAGAATTCCTCAGCCAGCAAAGCTGGCTGAGGAATTCTGGGAGTTGAAGTCCACAAGTCTTAAAGTTGCCAAGGTTGAGAACCCTTGCATTAGAACAGGGGTGTCAAACTCGCAATGTCACATGACATTGTGTCACGATGTATCGCAACTTTTTTTCCATTGCCAGCAATGGGGTGGGCATGTTTCAGCATGACGCATCTGGCCTGCGGGCCGGCAGTTTGACACCCCTGGTCTAGACAGATGATTCCTATTGTATTAATTTATATTGTAGCTGAACTGAATCCAACAGAGATAAAAGGACTCTCATTGATCTCACATCTATGAGGACCAGGAACAGACCCCCCCACATTCTTTCGGTGGTCAGTATCCAAGGCTCAACAGCCCTGTATCTGAATAATCCCAGCATCATATTCCTAAAGCCGAAACTTACCGATGGTGCCTGCTTTTGGTTGCAGTATCACTGGATGGAATCACTTCACTGGTCTTTGAAGACCTCCTTCTTATCCTGTTCAACAGCCCCTTAACTCTACCCCAGCGGGATCGGTCGTTCTGGAAGAGAGAGACACCCAGTGATACCAGCACTAGCCATAACTGAAAGTCAAGCAGAAACAGAAAGCATTTGGTCCAGCACAACACACAAGATTCGTTTCAGACATTCTCTCTCTGCATGTTGCTATGGAACCAACAGCTGCTTCCCCAGCCCTACTTTGAGGTTTTCGGAAAGCGAAGGAGTGATGGGAATGAAGTTTATGAAATAATACATGCCCTCAGTCTCGGTACTAACACTCGGTACTAACTTCCAGCTCACCTTTGCCTTCTGGCTTGATGGCCATGTATGAAAGCCGCTACCCAGTCGTTCCACTAAGCTGGGTGAACTGGCAGAGTGAAGGGCTGACATCATAGAACGATCAATCTTGTTTCCTGCAAAAATGAAAGAGCTTGCAGAAATCCACTTTTTTTTTTTAGAAACAATAGAAATCCCCTTCTTCACAAATCCAGACTATTTGTAAAGCTAGCCAATTCTAGAGGGAAATCAGTGGAGCCTGTTTAATGTGGCTTCTACATGACAATCAAACCCAAGAAATGGGGGCTACGGTTAGCACAGGGTGACCACCAGGTACTCACCCAGATGATGGGTTTGTCTCCGGAACATGTGTGTGTCTGAAGCAGAACGAGCCCGGAAGCTATGCGGATGCCAAGAGTCCACTAAATCGGGATATTCGTCTTCATTCGCAGGATTTCCCTTTTCCTCTTTTTCAGTCTCCATGGCTTCGGGATCACCCGGCTGGAGATCCGTTTGAGACTGCTTAGGCTCTTCTGCAATTTGTTCAAAAAAGCACTTCTGCCAGACAAAGAGAACTTGAGTTGGAGAACAATCACCGCAGAACTACCATTTGGGGTTTAATTTTCGTAGAGGGGCGGGATAAGCAGGTGATTTCAAGGTCTGGTTTACTAGCCCTCTCTCAATTCCCCGCACCCCAACTCTATTCTGTCCTTCCAACGGTGACCAACATCTACAAATTACAATTCAATTAGCTGTAGCCCTTTCCTACCTTCTCCTGTTGTAGGGTGCAGACCTGGCACTCCAAGGCCCGGACTCGGCACTCCAGTAGTTGACGTTCATGCTGGAGTTGCGTGTTGGCTTTCTGCAGTTGGCTAACTTTCTCCATCAGTTGGCAGAGGTTCTCCAGGCAGCGTACACCCGGCCCTGGCATGGGGAGGGATGCTGGCTGTTGTGCCTAGCAAATGAACATCAGGCAGAATTGTAGAATCGGCACGCTCCACAAATAATATTTTGTCTGATCCTCACCTAATGTGCAGGAAAACCAATTAAACTATCCAGCTTCTTCAACATCTCCAGAGTTGGGAAACTCACAACCTTATTTGGCAGACTTTTGCCCTGTTGGAAAACTCACCACCTTGGTTGGTAGACTCTTGCCTTGTTGCACAGATCTTACCACTCCAAAGATTTCCTTATATTTAAGCCAGGTCTAAGTAGCTACAACTTATATTAGCTCTCATTTCTGGCCTTAGTTCCTGTGCAGAGAAGAGCAACAAAGATGATTAGGGGACTGGAGGCTAAAGCATATGAGGAACAGTTGCTGGAATTGGGAATGTCTAGTTTAGGACGAGGGGGGACATGATAGCAGTGTTCCAGTATCTCAGGGGCTGCCCCAAAGAAGAGGGAGTCAAGCTATTCTCCAAAGTGCCTGAGGGCAGGACAAGAAGCAACAGATGGAAACTCATCCAGGAGAGAAGCTATCTAGAACTAAGGAGAAACTTCCTGACAGTGAGAACAATTAACCAGTGGAACAACCTGCCTCCAGAAGCGGTGAATGCTCCAACACTGGAAGTTTTAAAGAAGAGACTGGACAGCCATTTGTCCGAATGTATTGTAGAATCAGAAACTCCACTTTTTAAATATGAAAACCGAAAGCAACTATGGAAAGTCTCTGCTAAACCCTTGCAGGATTTCATCAGCAAATGACTAGGATTTCCCAAGAAACCTGAAGTTCTATTTCCTTGCTAGCCCAATTAATCTTTTGCTTATGACTGATTAATCAACCTTTTATCCTGCCGCTCCCTCATCATCAATCCAAAATATGACCAGAGAAAGGAGGAAATTCAGTGGTGACACACACAGATGAAATAAGATGATGTAGCCCAACAGCTATGCAGAACAGGAACACACATTCCAACGCAGAGCTGGCATTTCTCCATACTGTGTTTCCTCAAAAATAAGACCCACTCTTATTTATTATTATTTTGCCTCCAAAAAAAGGCACCAGGTCTCAATTTGGGTGGGTGTGTTTGTCTTTTCCACTCACCACTAGCACCGACAGCCTTGCCCAGTGGCCCACTTCTGCGGCCGAAGGAGCAGCTCCATTCTGTGGCTGGGAATGGGGCTCCGGCTGGCATTTTGCAGTCAGAGGCCTTTCTGGAAGGCCTCTGCAGCTGAGAACCGAGCTACGGATTCAATCCAATCTACGGTGGTCGGCTTTAGAAGCCTTGCAGAACCGAACTATGGACTGAATCCGTAGCCAGGTTCTGGGCTGCACAGGCCTTCCCGAAAGGCCTCTGACTGCGAAATGCTGGCCTGGGGATGCTGCAGAAGAAGAGCTGGGCCTGCCAGGTGAGGCAGGTGTCAATTCATGGGAGACCTGACTGCAACGTGGGGGAAGGGGGGCAGATCCACACCCCCACCCCTGCCTGAGTTTGACTTTTAGGCCCTAAAACTAGCGCTTATTTTTGCGGTAGGGCTTATATTAGGCCAGGGTAGGCAACCTTGGATCTTTTATGACTCCTGGACTTCAACTCCCAGAATTCCTGAGCCAGCCACGCTGAGGGGAAAGGGAGAGGTTTCCAAGCTGAGCAATGTTGGCTCAGGAATTCTGGGAATTGAAGTCCACGAGTCATAAAAGAGCCAAGGTTGCCTCCCCCTGTCTTAGGCCCACCCCCATAAATCAAGCCAGGGCTTATTCTCGGGGTAGGCCTTACTTTCGGGAAAATGCCGGTGTGTAATTTTGGATTAGGCTGGAATTCAGCTCCCCACGTCTAATATTACTTTGAGCGTTTCATTCTTTCTCTCTCCAGCACTTTCCGGACTGCCAAATATTAAGTCGCTCCTGGATCTTTGCGTTGCATTTTGCCACTGACAAATACTTTAGTTTGGACAGGAGCTGTTGACTGCCTTTAGTTGACTCCTGTTCCAGGCAGAAACCAAAGCAGAGCAGCAGACTTTAAGGAAGGCAAACAAAGATCCCCATGATGGCTGCAGTCTTCTGGGGCCACGTGTGACCGCTTTTGTGACCTTCTGACAAGCAAAGGTAATGGGGAAGCCAGATTCACTTAACAACTGTGATAGTAACTTGGCTGCGGTGATTCACTTGACAGCTGTGCCAAGAAAGGTCATCAAATGCTGCAAAACTCACTTAAGGACTGTCTCACTTAGCAACAGAAATTTTGGGTTCGGTGGCTGCCTTGAGATCCTTCAGGAAATCAAGCCTTTTAAGGACGTGTCAATTCATTCACACTCTGAGGCGGCAATGTTTTTGCACATCTCTGTTGGGAAGAAACTATGCTAATTCAATTAGGTTTATAGTGTAATTACAAATTATGGGTGTGGCCTTTTCGCTGGTATAGTGCAGCAATAATAATGATGTTTTCACAGGCTTCGCAAGCTGCAGTGCTGAACCTGCAATCACAGGCCTGTTAAGGAAAGAAAAGCATTCACACACAAAGCAGAATGAGATTTCATTGGGGTACAAAGGATGACCGACTCCAACATCGGTATAAATGAGTGTTAGGTGTAAAGCAGCTCATTCTGTTTGCTTAGCCCACTGTTGGTGAAAACAAATCCCAATTTGCCTTCTGTGTTGTCTGTGGGGACTCCTAAGCCCCCGTTCTGAATAACAGTGACCGGGTAGATTCATAAATACCTAGAAAAGCAAAGCCCAGGTGAGTCAGATGCCAGAGGAAGATCAGCTCCTCCCTGCTGCAAACTAGGTCAGCAGAGAAAGAGTCGCTTACCTGCAGGGATTATGAAAGGTGAAGACATGGGGACATTCTAGCAAGAGGCAATTATGCAAGGCATCAGCACAGGGTGGAATCTAAGAGCATTTCCCTACGAAACTAACCTACCTAGCTACTGGGCGGAAGCCATAGCTAATAATGATCCTTGGCTCTCTGATCACATCACCAAGAATGTACCTGCAAAGCCCCTCCATTTTTAGTCCCTCTGCCAGCAGCTGCCCTTGCTTGATCAGAGCTGTTTCAGAAGATTCCTCAGGTCAACCTGGGCCAACTGGCATCTTTCCAACACTCACCTTTTTTTCTGTTTTCTCCTCCTCAAGGGTGTTGCGGCCTGATGTAGTTTGACTGTATCCTCCAGAAGCCTCGTCCAGAAGCCTGTCAACACTCACTGGCCGGTGTGGGTAGCGGGACTTCAACTCCTCCAAATCTACCAGACTTTGACGCCTCTGGATCAGCTTGTTGGGCGTACGGACGTACAAGTGGTTCTTCTGGGACCTCTGACCCATCTCGGTGAACTTCCTTTTGACACAAAGTTCCTGCCAGTAGGCACGATCCAGAACAGGCAGTTCTTGTGGCCCATCTTTTTTGGGGCAACCCTCCCGAGGGGCTGGAGCAGACTCATCTTCTCCTGCCATCTGGAAACCATCTTGGTAATCCAAAGAAAAGCTTTTTTCGGATTCCACCGGGGTCAAAGGGGCATGATCGCCACTGGCCATCTCCACGCCGGAATCTTCCGATTCAGATTTCATAAGCCGTCCACTCATGGGCAAGAAACCCAGATGATGGGGAACAAGATCAGTTGGAGATCCGGCCTCGGCCCATCTATCAGTCTCTATGGTCATTTGGTCTTCAAGAACCAGGCTGAGCCGAGATTGGGGTTGAGGGATCTGCAGCTTCCAGCTGCGGGACATGACTGACGTTAGCACCACACGGTTCTCAGCTGGTCTCCAGACACTCTCTGCAAATTGAGAATGAAGCATAGTGAGTAGAAGCCACGCCCCTTCCACTCCCAAGAATGGACTGAAACTATGTAAATAGGGCGGCTGGCCAGGTAAGAGCTCCGTCTCAGCCCCTTCCCTTGCTAATGATCCCCAAGAGCTTTGGATCAGCACCTTGCAACATTTGCATTCCAAACATATTCCTCACAGGTACATGACTCAGGCAGCAGCCAGGTCTGGCCAGAAGAGCGGAGAAGGCAACCTGGAGAGGCTCCCGAGAAATTATCTCTGGGAAAGTGCTTCTTCACAAAGATAATTGCATCAGATCCCAAGAGTGCAAAGGATTCTAGCTCTTCTCTTTCTACACTACCATTTGGCCTCTCTGTGTTTCTCAACCTTGGCAATGGCTAGCTGGGGAATTCTGGGAGCTAAATTCCACACATCCTCAAGTTGAGGATCACTGCGCTAAACTACCCTAGTCCACCTTCTATCTCCCCTGCTTTAAAATTATTTCAATCCTTGTCTACCCAGCTCAATTTTGGACATTTTTCTACCTGTTTCTTTTGTTTTTGAATACTTTCTTTCTGGCAATCCAGATCTGGGAGTCATTTCTGTCTAAGATAAAAGATGTGAATCATAAAATCCCATCAGACCAGAGCACAGTCTGTTCTACAGATGTTATCTAAATGATCCTCAAAACTACTTAAGATATTTCCCAGGTATGACAGATAAATGGAGAACAGAATCTCATAGAAAAGTGACAAAGCCTCTTTACCACACAAACATCTTTAGACTGGATCTAAAATAAGTGACCTCACTGAGAAAGCAAGCAGAAAAGTCAACTTTCCCCCCCAAAAAATCCTTTTCACTATGACTTTAGAAGTCTTCATAAATTCAAATTCTGCAACAGTTATAACAAAATCAAGATCATGAGCAAACAGTATAATTCTTCTTATTTCAAGAATTATCCTACAGCGGTGTTTCTCAACCTTGGCAACTTTAAGAAGTGTGGACTTCAAATCCCAAAATTCCCCAGCCAGCCTGCTGGTTAGGGAATTCTGGGAGTTGAAGTCCACACATTTAATGTGGTCACAGTTGAGAACATGGCCTTATAGCAGAGGTCTCCCAACTTGGCAACTTTAAGATGTGTGGACTTCAACTCACAACATTTCATGCTGGCTGGGGAATTCTGGGAGTTGAAGTCCACAAGTCTTAAAAGTTGCCAACTTTGGAGAACCCTGCCTTATGGTATTAGCCAGCCTGCAAGATAGGAGAGGTAGAAGGATAATGGCTTTGAAAGTCCCCCTTGGCTTCCCATCTGGAGCCAGATTTATCCAGATTTCTTGACAGCGCTTAGTAGGCTGCCCCTCCCTCCCATGGCTGGAAATCCAGTCACAAGGGTCTTCTCAAAACTTCGGTTACCAATGGATTGTGGCCTCCCACCACTTTTTCTCTTCCCACAAACTGTTTTGAAAAGGGTGTTTGTTTCCATGCTAGATAATGAAACAAATGTTTAGCTTCCAGTTTTTTTAAAAAAACAAAACAAAATCAGCTGTACTTTTCCAGCAAAAAAACTAGCAGGAAAAATATGCCATTAATCCTACCTGTCAAAGAGCTATATTTGGTAGGATACAGGCCTTTTCTGTGGCTGCACCCTTTTTGATTTTCCAGAATTCCCTCAAAATGTGGCTAGGCCACTGGGTCTGGGGGCCACAAGGGACCGGTGAGTTGCTGAAGTGGCTCCATTGTGGTTAAAATCTGCTGCTCTCTCCTTGCCTTTTAATCACAATTTTTAATTCTTCATATTTGTTTGCTTTTTATAATGTATGCCACCCAGTTTCATATTTTTCCTGAGATGGGGCAGCATATAAACACGAACAAATAAATCAAATCTCTGCTTACACACTACATCTTTGCACTATTTTAGGGGATTTTAGGTTCCCCCCCCATATGCAATCTGGGAGCTGATGTGCTGAGGAAGGGGGTCAGATTTGATGTCTGCATCATGCAGTATAAAGCATAAATGTGTGAATCAGGCAGTTGGAAACGAATCTCTGTCCCAGGGAGATACAGGAAAAGAACCAACCACGTTTTACACCTATGATTTGATCTCCAGGTAATCCTTTGCCCGTTCATTCTTGGAAGCTAATCTACCAAGACTTGCACAAATCTCAATTCAAGAACATCTGACCCGTTGATGTTTTAAACTAGGGGCTGTATTCTTAATTTTGTTAGCTGATGGGGCAAAAAAAACAAAAAAACTTTTTAACTAATCCACTTGAAGATTGCCGAGGCCAAACAGCCCAGGTGCCTCAATCTGCTTTTCCCAACCCCTATTATTATCATCCCACCCCATAATTTGCTGCTGATTGAAAATGGTAACAGTTGCAGCCAAGGTCTCCGGAAGAGGCACATTTGCGCCCTTGCCTTAGCTTAGCCGGTCTCTCCCCCGCTTCTTCCACCGGTCTGCACGTAACGGCCTTCCCACGGAGCACGACTTTATTCGGTTATTAAATATATATATAAATATAAAGTTTTTTAATTAAACTTTTATAGTTTTAACTACCCTGGTGCTCATTTTATTTTAAACATAAGTATATATACACACACACCCCGCGCGGCTTTCAGCAAGAGAAAAGCAGACTAAACCCAACACGAAAACGTTATAAAACACTAGCAGTCAACTTTGCGGGAAATCGGGCCCATTGGGAAGCAGACCCGGGGTTGCAAAGCAGGGCTTTCGGGCGCCCCCCGGGTGGGCAGGCAGCACTTTCCCTCCACGGGATGCGACGGTTTAAAGCGCCTGGCCGGGAAGGGAGCCGCCCCGGGCGCGCTGCACGGACCGATCCGACGGCGCCCGGCTCCGAGGGGGACAGGAGAGCCGGGGGTCCTGCAGGCCGGGGAGCCAAAGATGCCACCCCCCCCCATTCCCACCCCCAGGCAAACCCGAACTCACCGCCGGGCTTGTGAATCGGCAACGAGAAGGCTCCCCGCTTGCGGTACATCTCCCGAACGAGCGCCGCCTCCGCCGCCTCCACTCCACCGCCAATGCGCCTCAGCCACCGCTCCGACTCCACCACCAATGCGCCTCAGCGGCCGCTCCGACTCCACCGCCAATGCGCCCCAGCGATCGCTTCCACTCCACCGCCAATGCGCCTCGACCACCGCTCCGACTCCACCACCAATGCGCCGCCGCGACCGCTCCGACTCCACCGCCAATGCGCCTCAGCGGCCGCTTCCACTCCACTACCAATGCGTCTCAGCCTCCGCTCCGACTCCACCGCCAATGCGCCTCGGCCACCGCTCGGACTCTACCACCAATGCGCCGCCGCGACCGCTTCCACTCCACCACCAATGCGCCTCGGCCACCGCTCCGACTCCACCGCCAATGCGCCTCAGCCAGCGCGTCCAAGTGGGAAACGAGCCACGCGCCGCCCCGGCCGCTTCCCACCGCTCGCCCAGCCGCCTCCTGGGCGCGCGGGGCGTTTTATACGGGGAGGGGCTCCGATGACGCCGCGGAGGCTGCTCCGGGGACCGCGGGGAGGCCCCCCCCCCGCCCTGGCGGAATCCAAGCCGGGCGGGGCGGGTGGGAGCTCGGCCAGGGCGCCTCGGCCGCGGTCCGGGACGGCGTCCCGGGGCCTCTCCTCCTCCTCCTCCTCCTCCTCCTCCTCTTCTCCGGCGCTGAGCGGAGGCCGAGAGCCCGCGCGGCCAGTCCGGAATCCCCGCCGAGGAGCGGAAGGCGAGGCCCCTTCTTCCCTCCGCCGCTTTGCCCGGCCTTGACCCCTTTTCTTTCCTGTGTCGGGAAAGAGACGGGGCTTAGGCGGAGCTCCATCCCAAGCCGCTGCCGCCGCCTTCCAGAGCAAAGAGGAAAGTTTGCTTTTGCCCCTCGCGCTTCTCTCCCTTGGCCGCCCCACCTTGCGAGGCTTTGGAGAGGAGCGCCCGGCAGGCCTTTTCAAATGAGGATAAAGTGCTAAGCTGGGGTATCTGTTGAAGTTTCAATCGGAAGAAAGCTGGAAGGGACCTTGAAAGGTCTTCTAGTCCAACCCCCGCCCTGCTCAAGCAGGAGACCTTATACCAGGGGTGGGCCACCTGGGCTCTTTTATGACTCCTGGACTTCAACTCCCAGAATACCCGAGCCAGCCATGCTGAGGGGAAAGGGAGAGGTTTCCAAGCTGGGCCATGCTGGCTCAGGAATTCTGGGAGTTGAAGTCCACCAGTCATGAAGGGGCCAAAGCTTCCCTCATGCTGGCTCAGGAATTCTGGGAGTTGAAGTCCACCAGTCATAAAAGAGCCAAGGTTGCCTACCCCTGTCCTAGACCATTTCAGACAAGTGGCTGTCCAGGCTTTCTTTAAAAATCCTCCAGTGATGAAGCACCCACAACATCTGAAGGCAACGCGGCGTTCCGCTTTCTGAAGATGGCAGCGTGCTTTGCAAAGGATGCACTTACTTAAAAATATTCTTAGTTTATTTGGCGTTCCCATATTCCACATTTCCTGCCTCGTTCTTCCTTTCCCGGAAACTAGCTTTGACACAATCCCAACATCCTCCGGTTGTGCTGACTATAATCTCCATTGTCCCCAGCTAAAGTTGGGAAGTGAAAGGCAGTGATTCAGACAATTCCCATTCCAATGCAGCTAACCAGGCTAGAAACTAGGAAACTGAAAGCGGGCTGGGTGACTTTGAGCCACTCCATCTTTCTCAGCTCAAATCATCGTATGGGGTGGTTGTGGGGAAAATGGGAGAAAAGAGGAGAATTGATAAGGTTGCCACCTTGAGTTATTTATAAAAATAATAAAGACAAGATTCTCTCTCTCTCTCTCTCTCTCTCTCTCTCTCTCTCTCTCTCTCTCTCTCCCACAAACAGAACATCTTTAAGCTTGAGTTGTTCTGCTTCCCTCTCCATCTGGTAAGTTTAGCTAGCATTAATGTGCCCTGCACATCCAACAATTCATGGATAAGCCTGTTGTGTGAACATTGCCAATATTTTCATTACTATTAAGTAAAAGGGAAAGCAGTCATATGCAATCCGCTCTTCTTCCACTCAGTTAAGCCCAACACCTTCATTACACTATACACAAAGCCCAATCCTTAAAGTAAAATGCCAGTGAACTTACTCTAAGAGTATTATACTCCTTAAATTTGCTCAACTGAGCCAATCATCTCCCTTTGCAAAGCGCTGCCCTGCTCTTTCCAATAGAACCATCCCTATTTTAATGCGGACAAGCAGAAAGACTGCACGCACGCCTCAGTTATAGGGGTGAAGTCAAGTAAAACTGGGTCCTTATGATTCTGCAGCACCCCATTTCGGATCAGCTATTCCCATCTGGGTAGATTTCTCTGTAGTTGATCTACAAAAGCTGGACCTACTTTTCCATTAATGCTTGCTGGTTGCCAAACTTTGGGGCTGCATTAAAGGGATCAGAACCCACCAGATCCTTTTAATAGGATTGCTCTGAAAAGTGCACCTGGGCTGCTTTTTGCAGGAAAAGCCCATTAGTCTTCCTGATCTGACTCCTGTGTAATTTATTTGGCCTTGCTCTATATAGCGACAGGCAGGGTCTGAATACAAAAGTCTGCTCTGCTGAATACAGAGCTTTCCTTGACTAAGTCCATACACAAAAATGAGGCTTGTTCGGAGTTTAGTGTCTGGAAAAAAACCCAGAGAAATGGGGACGTTATAACAGCCCCATCTGTGACAAGGAGAATCAGAGGGTAATTACTACTGCTGATTAATTTCCTCTACCAATTATTACCAGGTTTAAAATGGGAAGGAAAGTGATAAGAGCCATAAATATGTATATTTAGTTCCTGCTGCCCTACAACAGAACAACTGGATAACCTTTGCCAAGCACAAATGAGGGGAAAGAGTTTTCTGCATGAGAGCCTGGGAAGATTTCGTGAAAACGCCAAATAAAAGGGCCCAGAGCTCTGTATGAGCTCTTCCTTTGCAGTCTTGACTTCAACATCTGTCTCCCGGAAAGGCTTGGGTTGCAAGACACCAGATGTGGCCAAAAATATCTCTTTGTTTCTCCTGGAATGTTAGCAATCCAGTCCTTCAGGGAAAGGCTCCCATTTTAAAATCACAGCAGCCAATTCTGACCTAGATCGAATGTCAACCTGACGTAGTATAAGGAAGAGACCCACCCCACAAAGTCAACAGCAGTTACGGGATAATAAGTGAAATTAAAATCCTTTACTGCATGTTGCGCAGTGGTGGCGCAGTGGTTAGAATGCGGTACTGCAGGCTAACTCTGCTGACTGCCAGCTGTTCGATTCTGACCAGCTCAAAGGTGACACAGCCTTCCATCCTTCCGAGGTCGGTAAATACACACACACACACACACACACACACACACACACACTCATAGTCACACATGGATTAGCAATATATATACTACTATATATATTGTAGGTAGCAATTGAAATACACATACACACATGCAATCTATATATCGTTAGTATATAACAATTGAAATACATAGTAGTATATGTATTGCTAGTCCATGTATAATACGCCATGTGCTAAATAAATAAATAACCTAGTCAGTTCCATTGTCAACCACAATTCCTGAACACAGGATGCCCGCAGAGGCACATTAGCTCTGCTGCCCTACTTCACCCTCTATTTTGTCCTGGGTGTTAGTTGCTGATTTACTTGGTCTAATCAAAGACAAACTACATCCTGCAAGTCTGGAGTCTATTTGCTCCTAGCCCATAAATGCAGGTCTGTATGGCTGAGATCTCCTAATTCAATCTGTACACAAGACTGTTTAGCCTTGCTTGGTGAACTGAAGGAAAGGGGCCGTTGGGGCAGAAATTGGGAGCGATTGTACCTGGAAAAAAAAAGATATTCTAGATGAACATAGGGACATCTGCTCTTCCTTTGAAGGGTAGGAAGTCAGAGCATCTGACACCTGGCCATGTGGAGATAAAAGGGGATTAGAAATTTAAATTATCTCCAGCAAACCTGCCCCCTTAACCCTGTTCCCCCCCTCCCAGCTTAATCCTCTGCCTAACAAGAGATGAGCACATTCAAATGGAGAAAATCAATTGTGTTCCCTGGCCAAAGAAATCTACACTTGATTATACTATTAAGTCCAGACTCTGGGCCTCCTGCAAGGAAGTAGATCCTCCTCAGATCAGTTGTTATTGCTCTACAGAATTATCTCCCTTCTTTCCTCAGCCACCCACCCATTCATTGCATTACTTTACATGTGACTCCTGTGCCCTCACCCTGAACCCCCATTCTTATATTTCAGTAGAATTATCTGCAAGTTGCTAAGGTCCCTTGATATTTTTTTTTTAAAAAAATCAGGTTTGTTTTTCCCCTTGTGGCTAGGGAAAATAGTCAGCCAGGAGGCAAACCTGTGATTATCCACCATCTGCATTCTTTCTCCCAACCCTGCTATTTTAACTTGTAGAATACTGTGTCACAGGCAGTCTGTTTTAACAGCAACTTCCAGACATCCCTCAGCGAGACAAACTTACTGGAATGATTTGGCCCGCCGTGTTTGGTTAGCTGCAGCATCAAATGTAAGATGAGGCCTGTTTCATACCATTTGCTGATGAGTAGAAAGAGAGTTTCCAAAATTGTACTACATTGGTTTGAAAAAGCTGTTTGGATGGAAGAAAAAAATAATTAAAATCTATATGCTTGGGAATGGCCTACTTTGCAAGCTTCCAGATGCTCTTGAACGCTTCCCCAGGTGATACGTTACAAAAAAAGGAGGAGATGGAGAAGAAGCAAGAAAGCAAACTGACAAAAAAAAGTCCAGGTATCTCCACCATAAATTTGAAGTGAATCTCAAGATGTACCTAGACGAAGGCTGTGTCATGTGCAGGCCACGCCCACCCCGGTCCCGCGAGGGCAAAAAAACATCACAATGCGTCACAGGACACAATCAAGTTTGACACCCGTGACCTAGACCGAGTGAATTTGTTTAATGGCAGACGAGCTCCGTTGAGCATCACAAATTCTTTGGTATGGATAGCTATCCTCTTAAACCTATCTACAGACTGTACAGATAATCCTCAATGTATGACAAATTGCACCCCAACGTTTCTGTTGCCAAGTCAAATGTTTGTGAAGTGAGTTTTGCCCCCCCATTTTATGACTTTTCTCGCCACCGTTCTTAAGTGGATCACTGCCGTTTTTCAGTCCCTAACACAGTTGTGAAGTGAATTTGGCCTCCCCATTGGCTTTTCTTGTCAGAAGGTCCCAAGAGGTGATCAGATGATTCCGGGACCCTGCAACCGTCATAAGTATGAGTCAGTTGCCAAGTGCTTGATCACGTGACCAAGGGGAGGCTGCAATGGTCGTAAGTGTGAAAAACGGTCTTAAGTTACTTTTTTTAGTGACGTCGTATCTTTGAACCATTACTAAATGAGCTGTTAT